CACGCTCTACCGCCGCAGGGTCTGCATAATATACTGACCGTACAGGTCCCTGCACAAAGCACCAAGATCATGTCAATACGAATCCAGAGATCATGGAATCCTCAAGATAAATGACCAGGACTTACATGGAGTACTGTATGGCTTCGCGGGCAGCTGCGGCGGGCAGGAAGTCGTTGACGGCCACCTCCTTGTTCTCGTTCTTCTTGTCTGGAAGAACAGATTTGGGCAAGAAACCACACAGGTGAAGGGAGCGTCCGACAATGACCACGGAAATTTAGCGAGTACGGAGCAGTGAGGCAGCAAAGCGTACAGTCTTCGAAGAAGCGGCGGATCTCCTGGAGGCGGTGAGGAGAAAGCTCGCTGATGTCGTTGTAGTGGCGGTACTCGGGATCGTCGGCGCAGACGGCAATGATCTTGTCGTCCTTCTCCCCCTGTCGTTCCAACATTTTGGTAAGATAAGATAAGATCGGTGCGAATTGTTGCATGTCGAAATCTAATTGCATGGAGATTATTCATCCATCTGCACTACCTGATCTATCATAGGCATGAGGCCGATGGCCCTGGCGCGGAGGAAGGCGCCGGGAAGGACTGGTTCCTGGATGCAAATGGCATGCACATGTTGTTAGTGTTAGAAAGAAAATGGGTGAATAATCAACCCGAGAGGCGAGAGGCGAGAGGACGATTGACGATTGACAGCGATCGATCAGCCAGTTACCTGCATGAGGACGAGGACGTCCATGGGGTCGTTGTCCTCGCAGAGCGTCCGGGGGATGAAGCCGTAGTTGTGAGGGTAGACGACGGACGAGTAGAGGACCCGGTCCACCTTGATGAGCCCCGTCTTCTTGTCCAGCTCGTACTTCACCTTGCTCCCCTTGGTGATCTCCACGACCTGCTCGACACACCGGATTAGACACATTCACGCTCTAGATTTGCAAGTTGGAACTTGGGTTGGTGGCGAATGGGATTCAGGTACTTACGACGTTGAAGACGGCCGGAGCTTCAGGACCTGCAAATTGAAAGCACGAACGAACGGTCGGTCGGTTAGCACTATCCTCGAATTGAAGGCCTACAAATGCGTTGGCGAGAGAGACGACGCGCTCACGTACCGATCTCGAGGTCGTGCCAGGGGTGCGCGGCGACGGACCTCCGCGACAGCGACGAGAGGATCCGCTCGTTCAGCCGCGGCGCCCGGCGCTGCTTCGGCTCCACCTCCATCACGTCCTGATGCTCCTCGGCGGCGTGCCCGTTGGTGGCTCCGTTCTCCTGGCTCATTTCCCGCTGCTACCTCTACTCTGTACCTGCCGGAAGACGAGATCGGGTTGGCCGGTCGACGGACGCTCGTCTCTCACGTCGCGCGCGCGCGCTCGGCGAACTAGTAAACGCTACTGCAATGTTTTGTTTACCAAAATGTTGGAACAGGGGATGGGGACACGGTGAACATTGCAGCGTCCCGCGCGCATATATAGGGGAGCCGGGGAGGGGAGGGAGCGCCGGAGGCCGGAGCGGTGCGTGGGGTGGCACTGGGTTGGTGGTGGTGGGGGAGGTGGGGGCCTGGTCGACGCGGCTGAGGCCGTGAGGCGCAGCCGGCACGTGGGTCTCGGTGCCGATGCGGTGCCGCGCTGGCGTTGGAAACTTCGTGGCTTCGCGCGTCAATGTCGTCACCGCCAGCGGCTCCGAGTCGCGAGTTGTTTCCCAGCTATCCATCGGGTCACCCCGAAAGGCGGCGCACCGTGCGGGGGCGCATCCGAACCGACGAGGCTCTCGGTCACCCATCTGCTCAGGCTTTCGCCTCGTCATACTCAAAACCCACGGGGTGACGGGACCCACGGGTAAGGTTCAGTCAAAGCGGAACGCCGTTCTGAACGAGCAGCATGTCCTCCAATCCTGATGCTCTCAAAAAATCACTTATCAGCAGTACGATTTAAGTTCGGTCCTTCGAAAAGAACTAAAGACTGGCATAGTGGCATCTACTACGCTGTTCGAAACCTTTTGATATCGTGATGCACGTTCTTTCAAGAGCTAGAGAGATCGTGATGCACATGACCGTGTCATGATTCGCACATATTTGTTAACAATAATAATAAGCATAATAAAGAAAGGAAAAGATGGTGGAACGAAGTCTAATGCACATGTTCGTCAGTGCCGGTTTTGGCGTCAATGCCTGTCCTCCTGTCCACCGACTTCAACTTTGGAACTGGTTGTCCAGAAGCCTACAGGGTGACAATGGCATGGACCGGAATACTCGCGCGAATCAGTGTCAACTCCGGTGCAGTTGTACGGGCCGGAGGCAATTCCCACAAGTCTGGCTAGCCTGGCACATTTTCACTCTAACAACATTATCAGAACGATTGGCAGAATCACAGCATTCCCCTTGTGAGGAGCCTCAGCGCCCACCAGTCAACAACTCGATACCACAACTTACAGGAACGACTGATCAATAGATATCATTATCATCACTTTACTGAGGCCCTTTTTTTTTTGAAACGGGAGTTCATTCAAATACAGTCATTGTTAAAGTATAAATGTACAACGCCCTTGTCTAAACCTGTGCAACATCTCAGAAACCTACCGCTTGCTTATCCAAGGAAAAACTAGTGCTGGTAGAATTGCCGAATGCTCCACCGGAACTTTCACACAGTCCGCAAGGGCGGAGAAACTCTCCATCTCCTCGGTCAAAAAGGAAGGGGATAGTGCGTTTACTTGTCTGGAATAGCCAATACAAGACAGTTAATTCATCAATATACAACATACCTTCAGTGACAAAGTAACTAACTTTTTGTATTGGCATATAAAATCAACCAAAAAAAACATTGATCATGCAGAAGTTAAGATAACCAAAAATGAGAAAAAGCAAACTTAGCAGATAAAACATGATGATATTTTAGCCAAAAAAAAACACTGAAAACTTCTTTTTACAAAAATAAATGCTTTCATTTGTATGCTGTATAGTGTATACACATCATGTGCACAAAAAGGAAAACGGGGTCAGGAAATAATGTGGGCACAGTCCGCAAATGTTGTTGGCAGGCGAAACACAATTTGTCACCAATTTTAATTCATTAAATATTGTTTTCAGTACCAATGTAATCATATGAACAAGTTTTGCTTGAGCATCTCAAATGATCAGTGATTCTATAATTGGTGAAGCTACAATAACTTATGCTACCATGTCAACATTGCACTGCATCACAGTAAGATACTATAGTATGCCCATCAGTGATACTCAGTTATGTAATTATGAGGAGAAAAAAGGTGATGTTGTAGTGTATGAATAAACTAGCAGTAATACAAATGTCTTGTGGGTACGTAAGCACGCAGAACACTACAAGAAGATACTCTTGCATGCAGTCTCGAGCAGGCATGAGAGCTATATATATATATCATTAATATTAAGAAGAAAAAATCTTGCATACAGGTATCATGCATGTGTCAGGATGTAATTAGACCAAGCAATGCACGGAGCAACCTAATGCTTGTTCTAGTGAAGAACGATAAGGATACAGGGCTTGTTTGCTTTGCGCCCTCGCCTGGGGACCTGCACCTAGGCAGGTGCATCCGACCACAGGCGTTCAAAATCGAACTCCTGGCGTCGGTGCCTGGCCCTCCAGGACGAGAATCAAACATGCCCACAATGCAGCAGAGCAACCAACCAGTTGCAGAATAAATAGTTGAGGCAGTATGGCACACAAGAATTTAAAGCACCTACCAAGTGGCAAGCTGCCACTACACAACTCACAGTAGGTCTAGCTTGCAACAGACAATGGCATAGCTCTGTGACAAAGTGGAAGAGACAGGTGGGAGAAAAGTGGTGACTGCTATTGTTCTTTGTTTGGGCTAGGGATGCTTGATAGCATTGGGACAATCTATAATGTCAAACCTTGGAGTTTTACCTGTTGAGACAGCTAATAACTAAAACATTCAAACAGTACAGTAACAGTGATCTTATTATGTTACGCAGCATCACTCCATCAAGCAGAAACTGCTCACTGCTGATAGAGCAGAAACAGCTCTGCTTCAATGGCAAGCCTGCTTCATGTGCAGCAATAACGGATGAGGCAATCTAACAAGTTCCCTTTCAAATATGTGGTGCATAGCCCAAACTGGCTAGCTGAACTTTGCTACACGCTCTATAAAGCTATAATGTGCAAACTTGGAAATCAAGCTTAATCCCTGAAGAAACTGATGAAACATGTAGCAGAGAAAGATACTTACGCAAACGATCTCCTCGTAAGTCTCATCATCAATTTCTACAGTAGTCACTACCTCTTCAACATCTCCAAGTATCATATTGAGATGTTGGTCATACACCTACATTGGAGGAATCATAAAGGAAACTCAAAATCCATAACAAAAATAGGAATATTAGATGAAAATCAGGACGCAAAAAAAAAAAAGGATGGCACCCATGTAAACTCAAAGCTGTTCATTTGCAAAACAATGCGTGCAATAGCAACAGAAGACCAGGGTGGATGATAACAGAGCCTTCTATACTAACATTCATGACAAATCAACCAAAATCATACAGCAGAACATGATAATTACACAAGCTGATATGAGCTGCTTATTATATGGAACATAGAAAAAAAAAAGAGGAAATGTGAGGTCAAATGTTCAAATGTTTAGCCAGTTGATGAATGTTCTGTCAAGCAACAAACTTATTACTATGTAATAATCAATAAAATTTGTTATTAATATTTTAGGAAATTAATGTTTCAAAATTACATAGGACGATCCCTGGACCCAATAACCAGGGCAGCCACAGCTGTTTATATAATGTCTATAATGTTTTCTTGTACCAAATACTTGCATTAAGAAAAAATAGATGACATCGAAATATAGACTTTTCAGTTACTAGATACATCATATTAGGCAGAATACACCACCCTGACAACTGCCTAGCCTTATTGCAGCATCAGGCACTGATAAGTGATGACTAACGTCAGTAGACATAAAGGAAATGATTGCTAAGGTTGCTAGGAATCAAGACTGTAAGCACCTCCTTATTCTTTATCATCATGGCTACAATCACTGGCATCACATTCAATCTCGTCTTCACTATTCTCCACAACATGCACAAGGGAATTGGCTTGCAGCGTCTTAAAACTGCTTATTAAGTTGGTTGCTTCTGAGATGAGAGCATTTTTAGCAGCCTTCACACTACCAGCTTGCTGCTCAGAAAGAAACTTCCCAGAATCAGCAGCTTTAGAGCCTGCTGGAGTCCTTCTGCGAGGCCTTTTTGTGCCTTCTCTACGTGCCAATTGATCAATGTACTTCTCATGTAAGATAACATTCTTTATAGGCTTTAGAACTGCTGGGCTCAGTTCAGATGGCTTAGTTCTTAACCTAGAAAATGGTTTCTTTCGTGCTGAAGAACTTCCACTGCGCTTGCCTAGAGAAGCTGAATTCATACAACTGTCAGGAGTCCCAGGAGAATCTTCAAAAGATAAGTTCAATTGTAAGGCACTTGGTGAGCTTTCAAAAATTGAGAAGTGGTCAGCCTCTTGAGCTTGGTCAATGCGGCAATGCTTCTGCAACAAATGCTTCACTGTCTTCTGTGCTACTAGATTCTTCTGTTTAGCGGTCTTTCGCCTTCTGACTGTAGGTTCCAAGATATTTGGAAGTTTTGGATCAGACAATGTGAAATTTCCTATAGGAGAAAATGTTGGTTTACTTGTTCTGGAACGTGGGGCAATTGGAGTCGGTGTTGAGAGGTCAGTATAAATTCTGTTGAAGCAGTCTTCAGCAGATCTCCCTGGCACCTGAAAAGAGTTGCGTCAAAAATCACTGAGCTAATAAATGACAAAGAAAGATATCCACACATAAAAGAAGAAATATTCCGGATAAAAAATAGGACCTACCACTGAAATATTCCAGTGAAGTATGAAAAAGAAAAGCAAACTGGCACTATGAAACCTCAAGCTATTTTGATTGTGCGATCAAGCCCATTAGTCCCCAAGTTTTTACATTTGTGCAATTAATTTTTTAAAAGTTAATGGTAAATTTGATGAATTGAGACCCCCAGATATTCATCTTGTTTCTAAGATGTTTTATTATTTGAATCTGTTTAATCATATCCTTTTGTTAACAGAATTAGCAAATCTGTACACTATGGAAAAAAAAGAATGAACTGTTATTGAAACTTAATGATGTATGAGATATTGTTTCTACTAAAATGGTGCATTAGAATCTCAATCTTTGTATATACCAAAAGAAAAGGAACCAAATTGATCAGCACAAAACTTAGTTCCAAAGAACATTAACAATGTTAAGTTTATCAAGGCCCATATATATATTGTAGGCCCATATGCCTACGAGGACGCCTATATATTGCAATCATCCCTAAGGGATAGATTATCTTCTCAAATCCCCAAGGTTAGTAACAAACAAGTCCAGTCAACAATTAATGACTTTATTAACTTTCAGCTATGAATCTTCATATGACACCCACATCATAGATATATTTCTAAAACCTTGATAGTAAAAATGGATTGCTGAAACACAATACGAAATAACATGTGAACAGACCATGTGCACTGAGATTCATTTCTGAAAAATGCAAAAACATTTTTGGCCACAATACTTCAGCATTCTTGTCCTTTTTTCATGTAAGCATGTCAAACTAGTGTATAACAATGTTTCTTCGGTCAGCTCTTGCAACTTATAAGAAATGAAAAAGACACTAAAGCAAATGATGTAAAGACTAGGTACCATTTTTGAAACTGTCTTCCAGAAATGTGGGGATGGTCGGGCACTGAAGTAAGCTTTGCGCAATGCCATGTCCTGCTCTTTTGTCCAATCATCAGAAACCGAAAAATTTCCCATTTCTTCTCAGTCCCGTTTGGCTTGTTGATGTTTTCATCAATGTTTGTCAATCTCTCATCATCAACTTTAAGCTTCACCACAATAGAGGGGGCCTTTTCAATCGTTCTGTGGGTGGATTTTTTGGGTTCATTGCGAGGTGCAATTTCTTGGCAATAAGCAGGCAATGGTTTGGGTTCCTGGCAATAAATCTCCTTCAATGGAAGCCTCCTTTGTGTTCCTCTCTTCCTCTTTCCTGTCTCCACTTTACAATGACTGGGCTTTAACTCATGTTTGTCACTCTTTTTGTTAGACACATCTGAAATATCTTTCCTAGGAGGTAATGCAGCACTTCCCCTATTCCTTTTCAGGCTCTCTTGATTTTTGTCTTTCCTATGAGGATTTTTAGTCTTTCTGTTAGGAGAGGTCACCCGGCAATTTGGTGGCAACAGCAACTTGCCCAAACTCTTATCTTCCAGATGGAATCGTGGGGATCTGCGGAGAGGTGTAATTGCTGATTGATCAGCCCTGGCTTTACATTCCTACAAGAGAAAGTTCAAATTACAATGCTATTTCTCATAATCTATGAATCAGGTATGAACCAAATCAAGCTTCTAACTAACAAACATGATAACATTCAGGAATGAAATGGATGGTACTAGTAGAAAAAACATAAGTCAAGCAAGAGCAACTCCTAACTCCGCCTATGTTGTCTCAACATAGCAGGTCCCAAGCCCTGGTAAAGGAGGAGGGTTGTGATAGGCGTGGCGAGACAACGTTAAATCTAGCCATTCTAATGAAGATGAAACCCGAAAGAAAACCGTTGGGGCGTAACTCTCTTAGCGACGCGCCATATCGGAACCCGGTATGGTGTTAAATGGGCAAGGGCCGGGTCGGCACCCCCTTGGTGACGCGCCGTGTCGTGATCTGGGCATGGTGTCAAGTGAGCAAGGATCGAGTCGTCGTTTCCTTAGTGGCGCGCTACATCGGCGCCCGGGTGTAGTAAAAAATGAGCAAGGGTCTTCACATTTGAGTCGACGGGTGCGAAGGGTAAGAAAGCTAGTCAAACCAATTAGGATCCGTTTAGGTAGTTGGAATGTAGGGTCGCTTATAGGTAAGTTAAGAGAATTAGTTGATACCACGACTTGGAGGCGTGTAAATATATTATGCGTTCAAGAGACTAAATGTAAGGGTCAGAAGGCGAAGGAGGTGGACAATACAGGTTTTAAGCTTTGGTACACAGGGACAGTCGCGAATAGAAATGGAGTAGGAGTTTTGATTGATAAGAGCCTCAAGAATGGTGTGGTGGGAGTGAGAAGGCAAGGAGATAGGAATATCTTAGTCAAGCTTGTCGTTGGTGATATGGTCTTGAACGTAATTAGTGCGTATGCCCCCCAAGTAGGCCTCGACGAGAGTGCTAAGAGACAGTTCTGGGAAGACTTAGATGGCCTGATTAGAGCTATACATAGTAGTGAGAAGCTTTTTATAGGAGGAGATCTTAATGAGCATGTAGGTACTATAAGCGCAGGTTTCGAGGCAGTTCATGTAGGTTTTGTGTATAGTAGTAGGAATCAGGAGGGGGAGGAAGTTCTGGACTTCGCGGTAGCTTTTGACCTGATGATAGCCAACACTTTCTTTAGAAAGAGAGAATCTCATCTAGTGACCTTTAGTAACGGACAACACTCTAGCCAGATTGACTTTGTCCTCGCAAGAAGAAAGGACAAACGAGCATGCTTGGGTTGTAAGGTGATACCAGGGGAGTGTATTGTTTCTCAACATAAGATTTTGGTGGCAGACTTTCGTTTTCAGGTGCGTGCCCGTAGGGATAAATAAGCTAAGATTGAAAGAACTAAGTGGTGGAAACTGAAAGGGGAGACGTCAGAGATATTCAGGGAAAAGATTATCAAAGAGGGCTCTTGGAAGGAAGAAGAGGACATAAACATGTGGTAGAAGATGGCAACTAACATTCGGAAGGTAGCCTCAGAGGTGTGTGGAGTAACCAAAGGAAGTGTAGGCGAGGCTAAAAATACTTGTTAGTGGAACGAGGAAGTCTAAAAGGCTATTAAGGAGAAGAAAGAATGCTATAGACGTTTGTACCATGACTGGAGTGTGGACAACATAGAGAAGTACAAGGTGACAAAGAAGACTGCAAAGCGAAGTGTGGCAAAGGGTAGAGCGTACGAGAATCTTTACCAACATTTGAGTACGAAGGAAGAAGAGAATGACATTTATAGGATGGCTAGGATTTGTGAGAGAAAGACAAGGGACTTCAACCAAGTTAAGTGCATTAAGGATGAAATGGAGTATCTCTTGGTGAAGGAGGATGAGATCCGACATCGATGGCAAGAGTATTTTGACAAATTGTTCAATGGTGAGAATACGGACACAACATTTCAGTTGGATGACTCTTTTGATGACATCAATAGGCGCTTTGTGTGAAGAATCAAGAATCTGAGGTCAGAGAGGCGTTGAAAAGGATGAAAGGAGGTAAGGCGATGGGACCGGATGGTATCCCAATCGAGGTGTGGAGATGCCTCAGGGACATAGCTATAGTATGGCTAACCAAGCTATTCAACCATATTTTTCGATCGAACAAGATGCCCGACGAGTGGAGGAGAAGTATATTGGTACCGATCTACAAGAATAAAGGGGATATTCAAAGTTGTACTAGTTACCGGGGAATTAAGTTGATGAGCCATACTATGAAGCTATGGGAGAGAGTTATCGAGCATCGCTTGAGAGCAATAACACGGGTCTCTATGAACCAATTTGGTTTTATGCCCGGAAGGTCAACCATGGAAGCCATTTTCTTAATAAGACAAGTTATGGAGCGGTATAAGGAGAAAAAGAAGGACCTACACATGGTTTTTATTGACTTGGAGAAGATTTATGATAAAATACCAAGGAATGTTATGTGGTAGGCTTTGAACAAACATAAAGTCCCAACGAAGTACGTCGGGCTCATTAAGGACATGTACAACAATGTTGTGACTAGTGTTCGAACAAGTGATGGAGACACGGATGACTTCCCGATTAGAATAGGACTACATCAAGGGTCAGCTTTGAGCCCTTATCTGTTTGCCTTAGTGATGGATGAGGTTACAATGGACATACAAGGAGATATCCCTTGATGTATGCTTTTCGCGGACGATGTAGTGCTAGTTGATGAAAGCCGGACAGAAGTGAATCAGAAACTGGAGTTATGGCGGGAGACTTTGGAGTCCAATGGTTTTAGACTCAGTAGAACTAAAACTGAGTATATGAGATGTGACTTCGGCACTACTACTCGGGAGGAGGAAGATATTATTTTGAAAGGTCAAGTAGTGCCTAGGAAGGATACCTTTCGATATTTAGGATCAATGCTACAGAGAGACGGAGATATTGATGAAGATGTTAGCCATAGAATCAAAGCAGGGTGGATGAAGTGGCGCCAAGCATCAAGTGTCCTATGTGACAAAAGGGTACCACAGAAGCTAAAAGGCAAGTTTTATAGGACGGCGATTAGACCTGCTATGTTGTATGGTGCAGAACGTTGGCCTACGAAAAAATGACATGTTCAACAGATAAGTGTCACGGAAATGCGTATGTTGCGTTGGATTTACGGTCATACAAGAAGGGATCGAGTTCGGAACGATAATATATGTGATAGATTATGGGTAGCACCAATTGAAGAAAAGCTTGTCCAACACCGGTTGAGATGGTTTGGACATGTCCAACGGAGACCTCCAGAGACACCGGTGCGTAGTGGAATCCTAAGCCAGGATAGTAACGTGAAGAGAGGCAGAAGACGACCGAAGTTGACTTGGGTAGAGGCAATAAAAGGAGACTTGAAAGGATGAAATATACCTAAAGACTTAGCCTTAGATAGAAGTGCTTGAAAAACAGCTATTCACGTGCCTGGACCTTGATTGCTTCTGCTGGGTTTCAACTCTAGCCTACCCCAACTTGTTTGGGACTTAAAGGCTTTGTTGTTGTTGTTGTTGTTGTTGTTGTTTTCAGTTGCATGTAATCCAAAATAAATTTCAATTGCATGGAGGCTCTTTTCAGTATTGTAGACAGCTTTCTCCCAAAGTATGTATTACTGTTTGCAACATTTGTACCTTATAAACTGTCTATATAAAGAATAAAAATAGGATGCCACCTCTAAAGCCCAAACAAATTTTAGCTATCTATCTAAATCCAGCACAGTTAAATGTGTTAATATCGTGAGCCATCCTCCACAAAGGATATCAGAGGTGAAGTCCACCTTCACCTTAGGACTCTTCTAATGGGCATTGATGAATGTGGTTTGGTTCTGGAAGCTACTCAACGCGATGGTTCTAACTTTGCACATGAACATTCTTCTCTTTATATTTTTTCTCTGTACTTACAGAAGGTCTGTGTTCTGGCACTATTTTCTCAAAATTGTAATTATTTCGCGCTAAGTGATTAGCATGAAGACAAAGTCCGGATTATGGAAACTCATAAATTGTTGCAACAGTACACAGTGCATGAGCGATTTTTTGAGACAGCAACTTGTGCAAATGGATGCAAACAATCTGCTGGTGCCAACTGTAGTTTTGCTTGGTACATGTGAACCAATTATTACGGGAACCATAGCAATGCATGAATTTTTTTGCCAACCATAACAATGCACAAACAGAGGCAAACTTAAAATGTTGTACACAGGATGAAGCAAGCAAAGCTCGAGAGTAGAGTTATCAAAAAAAAAAAGCTCGAGTAATGTCTTACCTCAAAAAGGATGAAGCAAGCAAGGGCTTTGATCATGGATTGATGGTGCCCTCAGACACCAATCTCCTCAATGGTGTACGGCGGCAGTCCACCTCCACTCTCCTCTACAGCGTCCCGGTAGCGTCTCGGACCACCTTCCTCTCCTCCAGGCACCACTCCTGTGCTTTCTTATCAGTACTCCTGTGCTTTCCTATCAGTACTATGATATCCTCGCGGCCTATGATATTCCCATCTCGACTCTGTTAAGTTGATTTCTCATCAGTACCAATTGCAAAAATGCAGAAAAAAATTAT